TGCCAGCGAGTTTCACCGAGTTGAGCAATGCTGGAGAGGCAGCGCAAGGAAGCTCCTGCTGGCCGGGAGCTCAGCTTGGCTCCACCTCGTGGGCTTCCTGGGAACAGCTCCCCCAGCAACCCGGGCCTCGAGGAATTACAAGGGAGAGAGAGAAAATAAAAAGTGACCAAATGTTTGCGTTTCTAATGCCTGGAAAGGAAGATACATGTATAACATGTATAACGTATGCCTAGAGCTTCATAGACAGGTCAAAACGCAGAAGTTTAACGGGAGCTTCACATATTCAATTGGAAATTGCCATTCTATAGAGAGCTGAATATGTGTGTGTGTGTGTGTGTGTGTGTGTGTGTGTAATACAACAGTTATTCAAGCTCTGACGACAGCTGACCTGACAAAGCCTCTGTGAATGAATACCCTTCCGTTTCTGTCCTTTCACTGTGCCAACAACCACCAGGCTTCGGTGCAGTAAGCAGCTATGGGAACTCAGAGCCCTGAACACACACCTGTGCCCCATGGCCACACAGACCAAGCAGGTGCCATTGCTGCAGTCGGTGAGGGTGGGCAAGAATCTCCCAGATGCCTGCTGGCACTTTAAGGTACCACAACCACCTCTGGATGCCCACAGATGGCAGGCTGTGGCATGAACATGACAGCACCCAGTTTGGGTGTACATGACAGCATGCAAACTGGAGAGACCTGAGGATCAGATCAGAGGGCCGACTGCCTATTTTCTTGTGTTTCCTGTGCGTATTTCTTGCATGCAGCAATGGTTCTTAAACTGTAGGAAGTCATGAAGTGCAGCCCCATGGCCAAAGCATCTTTGGTTCAGCAGATGGGAGGTAGGCTGGGGAAGGTCCAGGCCGAATGAGTTCTGGCTGGTGCAGGGATGGGGCCAGGCTTTGAGGTGGCCTGGTCTGGAGTCCAAAGATGTGAAATTCAGTGAGCAGGTGGAGACCCGCATGACTCAGGCGTGTCTATGTGCTGGCTGTTCGTGAGCTTCCTGCTGTCATCTGAACTTTCAGGAACCCCTGGCTGTGTGACCTTGGGCAGAAACTGTGGAACCGAAGTCACAGTCCTAACACTGTCCCCTTCCCACCTGGCTGAGTAGCCAGGATCAGTTAAAGATACAGATAACCCAGAAATGGGATTTGAATCAGTAGCTGGAACTGGCTGTCCTGGTACCCTGGGCATTTGGGGGGAAATTAGACGAGCTGGTTGTAATTAGACCCTACTGGGTAGTGAGTGTCTTGGAACTGAGATGTCGCAAGTGCTCAAAAATATACCAGTTGACTGATGTTGTGGCTCAGTGCGGAGAGCCACTATTTGCAACACTCGCATCCCATATTGGAGTTCGAATCCTGGCTCCTCCCCCTCTGAACCAGTTCCCTGCTAACGTAGGGCAAGCAGTGGAGGACAGCCCGAGTACAGGGATTCCTGTGGTCCGTGTAGGAGACTCAGATGGAGTTCAGGACTCATATCGCCGCCATTCAAGGTGTGAACCAGCGAGTGGAAGATCTCCCCCACTCCCATCGCTCTATCACTCTGCCTGTCAAATAAATGAATCTTAAACAAACAAACAAACCATGGAAAGAAGACCAAAAGGCACATCTGAGTCATGAGTAAGAATCCCAACAGCTCTCCCAACTGAAGAGTGTGTCCGGAATCCAGTGCCTCCCGCCCTGCTCCCACCATAGTAGAGCCGGGGTTCCCACGCCTGCGCAGATGGTGTCTTACTGCTCCTCTCCGGGAAGACAAGACATAGGGACAGACCCTTTCCTCCATGCGGATGCAATTCAAGCATGGCAACCACCTGCGCCCTCTTTGGGACCCACCTGCCCCACCCACACCATCAAGCTTTTGCCCCCAACTCCTTGCTGACCATGCCCTGACCTCCAAGTGCCCATCGCTCAGGCAGCCTCCTCTCTTACCCACCATGCCAGCTCCCTCTCAGCCTCTTCTGCCTTGGGCTCCCAACTGCCAAGCTTCTGCTGGATGGAGCTAGAACAGCCTGGGGACAGGACTTTCTGCTGTTACCATGCACCTTGGCAGACTTGATTCCCTTAAAGTAGAACACCCTGCCAGTCCTCTCTGTTGTTTGGTCCAGTTATACCCATCTGTTTGCAATAAACTCTTGGCTTTGAAAAAAAAAAAAACCACAAATGTGTGTCTTATTGTAAAATTTAGAAAATGCAAAGAAATATGATTTTAAAAATCTACTGAAAACAGGTAGCTGGAATCAGGCCTTTGGCATGATGATTAAGAGGCTGCTTAACCTCACGTCCCACATTGTAGTGGCTGGGTTCAAGTGCCCAGCTCCCTCCTCGTGCACACCCTGGGAGGCAGCAGGTGATTCTCAAGTACCTGGGTCCTCACCATCCTTGTGGGAGACTCACTCTATTGAGTCTAAGGACTTGGCTTCATTTTGGCCCAGCCCTAGGCTTGATGTTCATTTGGGGAATGAACCAGCAGATAGAAAATCTCTCTGTTTCTCTTCGTGTCTCTTTGCCTTTAAAACAACAGAAACAAATAAAATGGAAAATTTTTAGAAGGAAAATGCAGCTCATGCTTGGATTCCTGGATTTATTTCCTCCAGGAGTTTTAAATGCATATGTGTTTATAAGATTCTACCTTAAAATAGCTTGGGTACTTGGTTTCCTGCCATCCTTGTGGAAGCTCCGGATGGTGTTACAGACTCCTGGCTTTGGCCTGGCCCAGACCTGGCTGTGGCAGGCATAAAGGTAGTAAACCAATGGATAGAAGATCTCTCCCTCCCTCTCTTTCTTTCTCTCTTTATTATCACTTCACTTTTCACATAAATAAACCTGAAAAAGAAAGAAAACCAAAGGAGTCAGAATTTAGGCTGATGTTCAGATGCTCTGGTCCTACATAGGGATGCTGGGTTCAAGTTCCCATTATGGCTCCGGCTTCCCATCCTTGCAGACTGCAGCTACTTGGGCCCCTGCCACCCACGTGGGAAATCTGGATTGCACTGCCAGTCCCTCGTCTGCTCCTGCCCTGGCCTTGGCTCTGACCCTAACCTGGCCCATCCAGTGTGGACACTTAGGAAATGAACCAATGAATGCTGGTGTTCTGTTTCTCTCTATCTGTCTTTCTCTTTAAAAAGGTGAAAAAGAAAGCAGATCCTTTTCGTTTGAATAAATTTCCTCTGTAATTAGGAAATTATGTTTATTGATCCGTTTGAGGTCTTTCAAATTATCTGGACACTTATCAACATGCCTTGCAAAAGGAGTGCACAAAAAGACACACTTCTGACAGACAGACATCCAGGCACTTACACAGTAAACGTACAATCCAAAGGTAAACTTTGACACATCTGCATTTTTCACTATGTCATACTCTTAAATTATATTTCTTGTATTCTTAATTTGACTTTTTTCACAGTTTTGCTACACACAAAAAAAAATCACGTACACACACACACACATACATATATATATATCTTCTAGTTAACACCATCTCTGAGATATTGGCAAAACCAGAGGTGGAGAAACAAATGAGGTTGCTGCTGGATACCAGGTGAATGCTGCAGGTGCTTGGATGATGCAAATGTAGCAGGTGCCCCACTGGAGAATCCCAGTGTGTCAGGGGCAGGGAGCCCCGGAGACTCAGACATCCTTCCACCTCCCCTACCTGGCATGTGTGTGTGTATGTGTGTTTAACCAAACTGGAAGTTCCTACTGCAAGTGGGATTTAGGGAACCTCTTCAGCTGCAGCATGCTCCCTCCTCCCCACCCCCAACTTTTCCCTCTGCGCCATTGTGTTGCTCACCTCTGTAAACTTTAAATAGTGCAGGTGCTCAGCTGCGTGCCTGCTGAGCCATGTCCTGCTCCAGTTCCGACAGCACCACTCACAGGAAACACAGTGTAATTTCACAGCCTCCACAAAGAACAGAAAAATGCACTATCTTGGTGGCCAGCATTGGGGCACTGCAGATTAAGCTCAAGTCCTGGCTACTCTGCTTCCCATCCAGCTGCCTGCTAATGGCCTGGACCCCTGCACCCACGAGGGAGACCCGTTTGCAAGTCCCAGCCCTGGCTCCTGCGGCCATTTGAGGCGTAAAACAATGGATATGAGATGTTTCAATTTTTCTGTCTCCCTCCTCCCCCACCTCCATTTTCTGCCTTGCAAAAAGAGAAAATAAAGATGGTGGCTATAATAGGAAAATGTTAAGGCCGTTGCCACCACCTCAGCAGAGGCTGAGCAAGTCTTGGGGGACCTGATACCGTGCTGTAAGTGCCAGCCACATCACATGATTCAGCAGGTTGTGGACCAGATTCTCTGGCGTACCACACATCCCTCCTATGCCGAAGACTCTGTCGGTTGATAAACCTGGAAGATGGAAGTCCCAACCTCTGAAAGAACGGTGTGCAGGGCCATTCCTCTTGTCTTAATGTGCAAGAGCCGGGACTTCAAAAGCTACAAGTAATGTTTTCTTCAAAAGATAAAATGTGTTTTCTTCTCTGAGTGGTGGGCCAACATCACCTGCTGTCTGCTTAGAAGCTACAACGTCCGCATGACTCGGTGGGAGTTCTCCCCGCCCCCAGTCACCAAAGCCTGACCTTCTCATGTTTCCCAATTCACCCTTCGGAGAAGCTTCCAGAATTCAGGCTTTTTGTCAAAGGAAACAATGAAGCAGGAGCAAGGATGATGGGAAATAACCCAAGCAGATCTCACATGAGGAGCCGCCATCAGACAAGGCTAAGCAGTCATGCTTCCTCTGAGAATCAGGAGCCGTCTCAGGTCTCCAGGTCCCCAGGAGCAATGCTAGGACAGTTGTATTGTCCCGGGCACAAAACGAAGAAATGCATTCAAACAGGTCCTCAAGAGAGAATGCCAACGCATTGTTCAGATGCAGCAAACACTTTTGGAAATCTGTTCAGATGTTTGTGTTTATGGAAGGTACTTTTAAGTACTTAAGTGGCAAGATTAAAAAAAAAAAAGGTTCTTGGACTGATTATGCAAGCTACACTTGAGCTTACCAGAGAGTGTCAGGTTACAGGCTAGACTCTGTGTGGGCTTGGCACGAATTGCTGTGCCAATTTCTATACTGCAGAGGTCTGATGAAGATCTTACGAAAGAACATCCGAAACCCCGAAGTTCTGAAAATGATGAAAATCCACGGGTCCACGATGGAGATCACCGAGAGAAAACGCAGGGCCTGGAGGTCATCGGCGTCGTGGGAGCTCCTGTCCGGAGCGTTAAAGACGCCGGCGTAAGCACGGTACTGCGGCGAAGAAAACACAGCGTTAGGCTCTCAAAAAGCTCGGTTCTCGGGACAGGTGGCCCTAATGGACCAGCAAATACGTACACTCACCAGGAGGGGGCGTGGGAGCTCAAGGACCAGACCCGCGCAGGCACTCACACCACACCTCCTGAAGAAGATGCAATTTCCTGCAATTATTCCCTTACCTTTTCCAGCTCTCCACTGTGCAGTGCGTCCCGGGACCCAGCCATTCCAACCCAGTGCACTTAGGGAGATGTCTTACCTTGGATTTACTTACATCTGTGCACCCACCCATCATTATTGCTAAGTAATGCAAAAAGGAATTATAAAGGTGGTTGCTGAAAGACAGTTTTTCCAGGCACTGGTCTAAGTACTTTTTGCAAAAATTCAATTCATCGCTACAAAAATGGTATGAAGTAGGGGCAACCAACACTCCCGATTCACAAAGGGAAACAGCCTATGTGCCCAGATCTTACCTCCCTTCAGGGTCCACCTCAAAGCTGCACCCCTTTTAGGAGGTGCCTTTGAGGCAGTGGCAAGGTGATCAATAATTGTGCCTGTCTCCCTGGGCTGAAGGTCCCTCACTGGATGACCTCCTGGTTTTCCTGAATGTTTGTTCATATTTGAAAGGCAGAGCGACATGGGAGAGGGGAGAGGGGAGAGAGCAAGTCTCTATGCACTGGTTTACTCCCTCCAGGGCTGAAGCCAGGAGCCCAGAACTCCATCCAGCTCCCCTGTGAAGGAGGCATCTGGAGCCATCTTCTCCCTTCCAGGATGTACATGAGCAAGCAACTGAACAAGAAGTGGAGGGGCCAGGACTCCAGTCATTGACCCTCCAGTATGGGATGTGGGTGCCCCAAGCAGTGGCTCAACCCACTACACCCCAGTGCCTGCCTCTATGCCCTCTTTGGATGAGCAACGTGGGGCCGATCCGTGCCCTCATCTGCCCAGTGGGTGCCCTTGGACATCCAGGGTGTTTGTAGAGTTGACTGGGAAGGTGTGAGTAGAACTTAAGGACTGGCTCTGGCCTGTAAAGAGAGCTGATTATAGGTTACGTTGATCCATTACAAGTAACTCCTTTCTTCCTCTAAACCTCCCAATGACCCTAACCATGCCCCCTGCCTGGCATTATAGCTTATGCGGGCACCCGCAAACCTTCTCTCATTTTATATCACCACAGTGGCTCATGCCGAGTCCTGGATGTGGGAGGTCCCACATTGTCCTGAATGGCCTCACGCGTGCCAAGAGGCTATGGGCTCAAGTTGATTTTAAGAACAAACACTGGACATGATTTGATCTGATATATGTGACCTCTCTCCTTCAAGTTAAAAGGGGGCAAAATCCAACTCCAACTCCTTCACAATGCTTAGTTGGTGGGACCCTGCATCCCAGGAACAGTGTGGGCTGAGTGCAGAGAAAGCTGTGATCTGAACTGTGGGACGATGCTTGTACAAACAAACCAATTATTTCCTATGTTTTACACGTCAGTTCTGTTGGTTGGGTTATCTGTCACTTGGTTGATATCAGGAATGTGTTGCACTACACTTGGAGTTCTAAAAGAAAATAAAAACATCTTTCAATTCTATTCTCAAGGAACTTAAAAACTGAGAGACCAAATACTCACAGTGAGTTGAGCCAAAATAGGGAACGCAATCCGGGTCTCCTATGTGAGGGTCAGGAGGCAAATCTATTTGAGATTCCCAGATGGGACATAGGCAACCTACCCATAAGGACAAAGTCTGGCATTTAAATTCCACTCAAACTTGGCATTTTAACAGGGGTTCTGCCCCGGCAAGTCCTCACCTTGCACACGCCCGGGATCCCATATAGACGCTGGTTCTAATCTCGGCAGCCCCACTTCCCATCCAGCTCCCTGCTTGTGGCCTGGGAAAGCAGTTGAGGACGGCCCAAAGCCTTGGGACCCTCCACCTGCTTGGGAGACCCAGAGGAAGCTCTTGGCTCTTGGCTCTTGGCTTTGGATCGGCTCAGCTCAGGCTGTTGTTGCCATTTGGGGAATGAATCATCGAATGGAAGATCTTCCTCTCTGTCTCTCCTTCTCTCTGTACATCTGTCTTTCTAATAAAAATAAATAAATCTTAAAAAAAAAATGGGGACAGGGGAATGACTCACTTTGCAGAAAATCAGTGTGAGAAGATCGCCCTCTGGTGTTCAGGAGAGTCATTGAGAAAAAGTTCGCATTTCCAAGTAACAGACTCAGCTGAATCCTTCTGCTTGTGAGCTCTTGAGATTCTAAGGAATCAAATCCAAAATTCTAAGGAAGATTTATTTTATTTACTAGAAAGACAAGAGTTACAGGAGAGAGGAAGAGACAAAGAAAGAGAAAGCTCTTCTGTCTGTCCCACAGCTTGTGTGTGGCCAGGCCAGAGCCAGGAGCCAGGAGCCAGGAGCCAGGAGCCAGGAGCCAGGAGCCAGGCAAGTCCTCCAGGAATGTCTCCCATCAGGGTGCAGGGTCCCAAGCACTTGGCCTTCTTTGCTGCCTTCCCAGGCACATCAGCAGGGAACTGAATCACAAGCAGAGTAGTCAGGACTCGGGCACTCTAATAGGGGATGTGCGTGCCCCAGGTGGCAGCACAGTAAGCTGTGCCACAAGGCCCTCTGCTTGGCTTGGTCTTTTACCCAGTGTACCATCATCCCACATCCCTCAGGGTCTCTCACCTGCCATCACTGTATCCCTCCCACATCCTCCTGGGATAGTGTTGCCGCCCCCCACCGTGGCCCATTCACAGCAGTGCCTTGGGCATGCCAATGCATGCTGCTCCACTATCCATGTGGGTTTTGATCTGTGCAATCACCTATGTCCATATTTGCCTTTCTCTAGTCCTTCTTCTCTCTCTTTTTTTTTTTTTAAGATGTCTTTATTTTTATTGGGAAGGCAGATTTACAGAGAGAAGGAGAGACAAAGAAAGATCTTCCATCCGCTGGTTTACTCCCCAATTGGCCCCAGTGGCTGGAGCTGAGCTGATCGTAAGCCAAGAGCCAAAGCTTCTTCTGGGTCTTCCATGCAGGTGCAGGGTCCCAAGGCTTTGGGCCGTCCTCCACTGCATTCCCAGGCCACAAGTAGGGAGCTGGGAGGGAAGTAGGGCAACTGGGACACAAACCGGCACCCGTATGGGATCCTGGTACATGCAAGGTGAGAACTTTAGCCACTAGGCTGCTTCCCTAGCCTTTCATCTTAACCATTACCTGTGACCCACCCCAGAGCCCCTGCCAACTTTCAGTACATTGTGGCTTTCTAAGGTAAAATCATTTTAATGGAAAAGTTGTTATATGCATTAAGAATACACTGCAAACTGTCACGAAAGCTTGTCCCATCATTTCTGTATTTTCTTCCTATTGCATGTAGCTTATTCTAATTTGGCAATATTTTGAGGTTACTCAATAAACCATACCCACAGACTGGTGTTGCGGTGTAACAGGTTAAACAGCTGCCTCTAAAACATGTATCTCATATGGAGTGCTGGTTCAAGTCCTGGCTGCTTCACTTCCCATTCAACTCCCTGCTAATGTGCCTGGGAAAGCAGTGGTGGATGGCTGAAGTGCCTTGGGCCTCTACACTAACCTGGGAGCCTTGGATGAAAAGTCTGGAATGAAGCTCCTGGCTTCAGCCTGGCCCAGCCCCTGCCACTGCACATGAAAGATCACTCTAGTGTCCCCACCTTCCAGTCCCCGCCAGCCCCAGTTAACTCTCCCTTTCAAATAAGTAAAATAAATCTATAGCAAAATATACCCTAGCAAACTTGTCACTGTCCTGATGAAATACAATCTTCATGCTATGGATAAATTATCGCGTTTTCAGTATAAGACACCCTCCCTAACGGATTGCCGCACTTTTCCAATTGCTTATGTCCATTTCTTATAGAGGAGTGGTTTTTAAAGTGTGGGTGGCTCCCATAGCTTCTCAGTGTGTCCAAGAAGGAAAACTACTTCCACTCAAAAGCTGTGATCTGCCCTTTCATCCTCCATGGATGTGCGGTGAACTTGATTGAGGCTGTGCATTGTTGTCACGTCCACAGCTAATGGATTTGTGCTTAACTGCCCGTATGTTTTCTCCGTCTTTCTAAGGTAGCAGGGTGAAGTGTGTCCAGGGGCATTTTCAGAGTCATTTTCTGTTTTTAGCATTCCCCACCCCCTCCTTTCGCCCACTATTATCTCTGTAACCTCACTATTTTCCATTAAATCACTTCAAAATTCCTAAGTTTTCTTTGAACTTATGCAAAAGCAAAAGAGATGATTTTAGCCTATTTTTTGCTATACTATTTTTTGAAAGTTGTCATTTTAACTGTTACTGTAAGTACTAATAGGTATAATCCATGTATGTAAAAGTTCTTTGGGTTCTTAAGAATTTTTAGGTGCATAAAGGAAGGCCTTAGACAAAAATATATGCAAACCACTACACAGAGACTGCATTCCTTGATTACCTTTATATGCTCAGCAGGCAATAATAATAAATGTAAAAGATAAGTAATATTGGTGGTAATGATGGGGTTAACTCTGTCTTTCTCAATCTCGCTCTCTTTCTCTCCTCTCTCATGTTTTCCCAACTGAAATACAAGAGTGGGGGTCGCCAGTAGCCATTCCACGTGCCGGAAGGTCCTGGCTTTTTCCAACAGGCAGGCGTTATTTGCTCTTATTCTCTGTCCTGTTTCCCTCACGAGGACCTGTGAGGGTTGACAAGACCGTATGAGAAGGGTTGACGTCATCACTTCCTTTGCGCCCTCTTGGAGGACAAGCATGCTGTCCTAGTTTGACACGAGGAAACTGAGCCAGGCTGCCACCATAGATAGTAAGCACCGAAACCCCAAGCTGAGGCGAAAGCCCCTTATCCCCTCCAGAAAATTACTGGGGCAAATGTGCTCTACACGACACGCTTGTGACTGTAACGCTTCTTAAAAAAAAAAAAAAATTTTTTTTCAAGGCCATTATCTCCTTTCATCTTCACCATACCCTAGGAATCTCTGATTCCAGCACGGAACCAGATGCAAAATTGTTCCCAACCCCATGGTTCTTACTAAAGCTGTGGGCCAAGTCCCCGTGCGTTGGGCTCCTTCATGCTTCTCTCGGAGCACAGAGTGAGTGAGAGCCCACCTGCAGGCGGTTTCTGGAAGGGATCAGACAGCCCATGTCTGAGGAGTTGCGGAGCAAGAGATAAAATTGTGGCTATTTGGCAGGTAGTAATGGAACGCGAGAGAAAATGTATTTGTACTGTTTTCCAGGGATGACACTACAAGATTGAGAACTTTGAGGGAGGAAAGAGCAGTACTATATATTTACTAATTAAACTTGATTGAGGCTCAAATTTCTTGGGCCCTCATTAAATTGGGTGCCAATGTGCATTTGTAAGACTTACTCTAAACCGCGCACTTGGGTTCGGGTGGGGGGCGGTGGCTGCAGACCAACCAACAGGCCGGAGCGAAGGGGCTTGTTGAAAGGGTCCAATCAGCAGCTCCCACGTCACCTGGGAACCTGCTGCGCCCGCAACTCTCCCCCAAGCGCGAGAGCAGGAAAACCTCGGGCGGTGGAGCCCAGCCTCGCTTCTTTTCTAAAAGGCCTCGGGGAAACTTGAGCATCCCGGCTGAGCACCTGCGCCTCTGCGTCTTTTATTTCTGTTCGCGATCCTGCGTGGGGATGCTAGAGACTACGCTTTTTTCAAGGAAGAAATCCAACCACACGCTCACGTCCTCCACCAGCGACAGTCTCAAGCCAAATTCCTACGCGGTTAAGAGCAGCCTGAGCACTTTGCTGTTCCCACGAGTGTCTGGGTCCCGACGACAGGGCCACAGGCAGCGTCCTGGCCTGTTTTGTCCTATCCCGCTGCACAGGTACCCCAGGGAGGTCAGCCAGGGCCAGGAGTCTGGAAACCCAGGCGTGTGCACCGTCCAAACCACCAGGTGCCCCTGTTCCCAGCACTGCCCCCCATCAGCCAGCTGAAACCTGAGCTCAGGGCTTTCCTGTCGTCTCGCTTATCCAGGTAGAAACAAAACCTGTCCAGACAGATCAGCACCGCCGGCCGAAACCCACGCGCAGCCGCCTCCCAGCCTGAGCGCAGGTAGCGCCAGGAGCCGCCGCCGGGGCCTTTTCAAGTTTACCGGCCGCTTTGCCTTACTCTACCTACGCCCACCCCATCCGATATCCCTGACTGGTGCCGCTAAACTCACGGGCAGGCCTGAGAGCATAAAGCACTACAAACGTCCCTTCGTGCTCCCCCAGAGGGAAGCAGAGCCCCGGGGCCTCTACCCCTTTACAGAGCGCTGGATTGGGCTAAGGGGACTTCGTCCGCCTAGCTCTCAGACTAGTCCAAGGAACGAAGCTGGTGATGATGTCTTTCGGGGTGTGGCAGGAATCCTACCTGGGGAGGCAGGGCCACGAAGCACCCCTCCCGGCCCAGGGCGCAGCGCTGGTTGGTGGCGCCCCGTCCGTCCGTCCGTCCGTCCCAACCCTGCACCCTGGTGCCCCCAGCAGCCGCGACTCACAATCAAGGGTAGCGAGCACATGGTGAAGAGCACGGTCATGAGAGCCAGCAGCAAGAGGTGATCGAGCTCCTCCAAGGGGTGTGGAGACCGAGCGGCCCCGCGGCCGCCGTCGCCCGGCTCAGCCCTCTCCCTGGAGCTGCAGCGCGGCTGGCGGCGCAGGCGTCGGTGCATCGTGTAGAGGTTGTGCATGGCGCCCAGGTTGCACAGCACGGTGGCCAGCACCAGCAGCGCCATGAGGCTGCAGTAGAGCATGGAGTAGCCCAGTACCGCTGGGGAGCGGTCGTCGTGTGCCATCTGGATGAAGCACCAGGTGCCAGGGCAGTACTGTACGAAGCTCCCGAAGCCCACGAAGGGCAGCGAGCAGAAAGCCAGGCAGAAGGTGCCCACGACGGGCGCCACGAGCGCACCGCGGCGTACAGTGATGTGGCGCTGGTAGAAGAAGGGACGTCCCAGGGACAGCCAGCACTCGAGCGCCATGGCCAGGAGCTGCAGCGTCGAGGCGAGCCCGAAGAAGGACATGAGGAAGGCGAAGGTCTGGCACAGCGAGTCCCCCGGCGCGGGCAGCAGCCCCCACAGGCTCCGGTTTTGCGCGTAGGCGGTCAGCACCATGGGGCTCACAAGGCACTTGCCCAGCAGGTCGGTCACGGTCAGGCCGCACACCAACACGTAGAAGACCGAGGGCGCCGGGCGCAACTGGCGCGACGAGCGCGACGAGCGCGACGGGCGCGGCTGGCACGACCCGAGCCCCGAGCGCGCCAGCAGCCCGAGCGCCACCAGGTTGCCCAGGAGGCCGGCACTGAAGAGCACGCTGCCCATGACTGCCGAGTGGCCCTTTTCCACTGACGTGGTGTTGTGGCAGCGGTAAAGGGGTGTCCTCATGGCGGCCGGGCGAGCTGCGGGGTGGGTTGCGGGGGCCCTGGGGTGCGCCGAGGAGCCCCCCGCCGCTGGGCGCGGGGCCGAGAGGCTGCGTCGCAGAGCAGGCTGGGCACAGTGCACTGGGTCTCCAGGCGGGCACCTCCCAGCCCGAGTAACTCTGAGACACACCCTCTCGGCGGGGCGGGTAGCGGCCCCAGGCGCAGGGAAGGAAGGACTGAGAGAGGGGGAAGGAGGGAGGCAGCGAGGCCAAGCCCAAGGCAGAGCGGCCAGGCGAGGTGGGAGAAGAACTGTTGAGATGTAGAGGGGGCGGGAAGGAACCAGCCGGCGCCGGGGAGGGTGGTCCCGAGGAATCAGGGACGGTGAATTCTGAAGATGAGCAAAGAGGTCCGAGAAGGGGATCACGCAAGGATAAAGGTAGCCGGTACTTGGCTAGTACTTGAGCTTAGCAGCCTAGGTGAGAGACGAGAAGCACGTCTCTACTGAAATAGCAGGTGACAGCGCTGCGCTTCTGAACTCAATGGAACGCAGAGATCTATTTATAAAACCCTTCGGAATAGCCTCCATAGCTCCTCCCCTCTCTCCCCGCCCCCCTCCCCCCCACCACCCTCCAGGGGTTGGCCACCATTTAAGAGAATTGGTCCTGGGAATCCGCGAGAGAGGTAGCGGTGTTGACCCTGGTAAGCATCGCGAGTTCCAGAGACTGTGAGAATGAGGGAAGGCTATCCCTCAGAAAGACCTGAGTTCAAGTCCTGGTTCCAGCTTCTTGCCGCCAGTAACCTTCTTTGCCTCTCAATGCAGTTGCACCTGCACTGCCTGCTTGCTGCTGGGGAGGCGGAGAAGCTGTGCAGAACACTGGGACATGTAGGAGCGTGTTTCCTGGTGCCAGTCGCTAAGGGTCTCATGTGATGGAGGGTGTTTGGATAATCGAGGTTTAACTACAGTTTTGAGTGTGGATTTTGAACCAGATACATTTATCTTAGACTTGATTTGGGACTTTCTCCCCTTTCTGGTTTGTGCCTGCTACAAGACATTTCTTCTGCGTCATAAAGGCAAGGGACTTGTTAGTGGCTTGTTTTTGTAATTAATAGCCTGCATCCTGGGTAAGGCTTTGAACATAGAATTTGAGTGATGACTGGGGCCATATTATGTAAGCAAGTAGATTAGAGGATGCTGGTTTTCAGGCCCCGTGCCTGTTCTGATGGACAGCATCAGAGAGAGAGAGAGAGAGAAAGCAGGGTCCTGGCTTGTCGTTGCCTCCACACTCCAGCCTGGTCACACGGTGGAGAGGCAGAGTCCCAGCTCAGGGATTAGTTCTGAGCTCCACCACCAGCTGTATGACATTGGATTAGTCACTTAGCCTCTCTGAGCTTCAGTTTCCCTGGGAAAGAATGCAGACCTCTTAGCACCCTGGGAGGCTGAGAAAGCTGCCTCCTTTGAGTGCTGGGCTCTGGGTGACTGTACTGACAAGACTCTCTCTCTCTCTTTCTCTCTCTCTCTCTCCTCTGCCTCCAGCCCTGGAGAGGGACTATATGAGCTGGTGACATAGCAGGAAGAGCAGCCCCTTTAATCCAAACAGGAGATTCTGGCCAAAGCTCCTCTCCCACCCCATCCCCACTCCAATTTCGATCAGTTTGAGTCACTCTGTGATCCCCAGAGCACGGCCAGTGCCTCCCTGCTGGGGGAAGCCTCTACTGAGCACACTGCACACAGGGGTTCATCTGAAGCCTCGAGACTTCCATGCACACAGCCAGAGCCCTGCAGTCGGAGTCCTGAAGCCCGTGGGAACAGAGCAGCCTCAGGTTGCACTTCACAGCACAGCCATCTTGGATATGACTAGCAGATGGATGAAGAATTCACATAGAGGGATTTTTTTTCCCCCAAAAGGGAAAAACACAGTCTTTAATGCAGGATCAGGAACACAAAGAAAAGATACAGAGGCACAGCTGTATTGTCTGATTTTTTTTTTTCCCCTAAGGCTGCTGCCACCTCCCCCTCCTTGCTGGAAACAAGTGCATCAGGAGCCCAAGCATGTAAACAGCTTTTTGAAACCAGCGCCCAAGTGCAAGTGATGGGCCAGCTGCCGGTGGCTGACTCAGTTTGCAAATGTCATTCTCCAAAGGTTGGTGGCTTTAAACCAGTACAATTCAGGAAACCACGTGTTTCCTCCTGGCCAGTGTAGCTGACCTTCACGAAGAGATTTCCGGCTGCCTTTCCTGCCTGCTGTGCTGCTGGCCACCCCGCTGTGCTGTCAGGCTAAGCTTCCGAGTGTTTCTGGCCCTGAGCATAAGCAGGCCTCCTTTAAACTTCATCCTTGAGCTGAGAAAAGTGTCCTTGACTTTGCATCACGTGTGTGTCAGACGCGGAGCATACAGCAAGCAGAGCAAGGGAACTGTGAGACATGTGACTTCTTTTCAAAAGCACTTATTTCTCTTTATTGTAAGGCATATTTTTAGAGAAGGGAGGAGAGACCTGATTAGGGGAAAGAGGAAGAGAGAGAGAGAGAAAGAAGCTATCCATTGGTTCATGCTCCAAAGGACTGCACAGCCGGAGCTGGACTGATCTGAAGCCAGGAGCCAAGAGCTTCTTCCAGGTCTCCCACAAGACTGCAGGAGTCCAAGGTTCTAGGTCATCCTCCACTGTCCTCCCAGACATATCAACAGGGAGCTGAATTGGAAGTGGAGCAGTTGAGACTTGAACTGGCGTACATATAGCATGCCAGTGCTGCAGACAAGAGGCTTAACTTACTACACCATGATGCCAACCCCAAGAACTATGACTTTCACAGGCTTGTGAAGTTTCACATCTGCTTTCAGAGTAACCAGACTAAGCTTTAGTTTGTTTTTGCTTTGTTTTCCATGGAGAGAACAGTTTATGACAATATCTTGCACCCATTTAATTGTGGAGTAATCTGTGAAGTGACGTATAGGCTGTGAAGGTTCACTGATGGCTGGGCCTTTCCGGGAACCTGCTGTAAGTCAAAGAGAGGTGTGTAGCAGGTGACACTGGCTCGGTTTCCTGGGATGCAGACTCTGGGATGGACGTGAGGAGTCTGTGTAGGATGGTTAGTAGGGAGGATTGGGGGATTACCAGCTGTGAATAGATGGAACATGAGAAGAACTGGACAGAGAGGAAACCAGGCTGCTGTAGCTCCAACGACATGTCTGAAGCTCAGAAATGGAAAGGCCTCATCCTGAGTTCAAAGCTGTTCTCAGTTCTGGGTAAGATGACTGACTCTAGGTCTTTGGTGGACCAGCCTGCTCCAGCTTGGGTACCACCACTCTCCGCCAAGGCAAATCCTAGAAGGGGTTCACAGCCAGGAGCACTCTCATGGCAGCTGGAGGGCCATGTCCTTCCAGCCTGAATGACACCCATGTGACTTTTCATAGGGTCCAAGACCAGGGTAGTACTGGGGCACTTCAGCAGAGTCCCCAAGGCTGTGTGCCCAGAAGCCCTACTCCTCCCTCTGGTTGAATGGAGTGCCCCTATACTCGTTTCAGGAAGCCCAGAGAGGTATAGCACACTGCACAGAGGGGTTCTGGGCTGCAGCATTTGTTGTCTATTCCTCAACTTTGACCTTCTATGTGCCTGCACATGCTGCTAGGCACATTCAAGGGTTTCAGTTAAGTGTCCATTGAATGAATGAATGACTAATGTGATACCTCTTATATACCAATGTGCAGAAAGATTAATTCATTGAGTGAGTCTTGACCAATTTTTTTTTGCCATCAGCATATTTTAAAAAGTTTTATTTATTTTATCTCAGAGGAGAGAAGGACAAACATAAAGGCAGAGACAGACTTCCTAACTGCTGGTCAACTCCTCAAACACCTTTGGTAGTTGGGGCTAGGCTGTGACTGAAGCCAGGAGCTGGAATTCAGTCCTGCTCTCCCATGTACATGGCAGGGACCCAAGTACTTGAGTCATCACTGCTGCCTCCTGATGTGTGCAGGCTGGAAACAGGAGCCAGAGTTGGACCTCGAACCAAGGTACTCCAATATGGAGTGCAGGTGGGCTAACCTGTGTCTGCACCATTAGGCCAATTGTGGATCCCAGGAGAACTTGGGTTAGAGTGTACCAAGTGAATTCAACTATTAGCTTAGCTGTCCATCCAAGCAGCAGGACACGGTGATATCTACTGTGTCTTGTCCAGAACTTCATCTGTACTTCTTCAGTATTTGGCTAAACAGATGGTTTTGGACCATAGCCAACATCACTGAAAGTTAGTAATTTTCCCTCTCTATGGGGGAATTCAAAAGATAAGTACATGGCACAGTTTATGGAATCTATTCCTTTATTCATTATTTCTCAAACTTCACTTTTCACAGCTGTATTTGTGCCTGAGTCTAGCTGGGACCAGAAAGAGTGCCCAGGTTCCTGTGCTTGTTAGGATGGACAGGGGAGAAGAAACACTGTTGGCTCAAGGAACCGATCAAGAAAGATCTGCTGGGCTGGGATAGCCCCATTAGGGAAAGTTAGGGACTTTGGTTGATTGTTCTTGCCAGGCCTGCTGATCTGGCTGGGCCAGAATCTGTAAGCTGAATGACACGACTGTATGGCAGAGACTGGCAAGTTGCTGGTTAGATTCATTCTAGTTCCTTTTCTCGGGTGGTCACACAAACACATTTTTCTCCTCCCAAGCTGTTCTGTGCCCTTGTAAGATTGAGTTCTGGTGCCACACAGGCTGTTCTCCTTATCCTGCCCCATCTGCTGACTGAGTGTAGAGATCTAAGAGCCTAAAACAGGAAGAGTTCATGTGTGGGTGGAATGTGGGCCCCAGCGAGGCCATGTTGGATGCTTGGTGCTGACCAGACTTGCATGTATTGGATATTGTGCTGTGCTGATGAGGATTGAGAAGTTTTCCATCTTAGCAGTTGACATTAACTCCATGAACACTGACATGTCAGCCTGCATTTCATAAGCCGAATTTCCTGCAGGGGAGATGCTATCCTTTAGTTGTACCCATTGCCACTTGAAATAAAACTGGGGTGGTGTGGCTAAGGAAG